GCTGGGATTACAGGCTGAGCCACCGCGCCCGGCCAGACTCTCTCTGGATTAAACCATTTGTGGCTTCCTAGTGCCATCTGGACAAAGTCCCAATTCCTCAGTTTAGTATCCATCTGTCCATCCATCCCCTGAGCTGCTCTGTGCCCAGCCCTGTGCTGGGTGATAGTGGGGACACAACAGTGACCATGACAGCCCCAGCCCTGCCCTCATGGGGCACAAAGTCCAGTGAAGGGGACAGATCCATCCCCAGATGGTGATGCTCCAGAATGGGCAGGACTGGAATGGTGAAGCCCAGGAACTGGAGGAGCTCACAGGGGGTGGGTGATGGACCTGGGATGGGGGGAGGTCCAACCAGGACCTAGAGAGGGCTTCCTGGAGGAGGGGGCATCTGACCCAGACTGGAGGATTCAAGGAGGGCTGCCTGGAGGAGAGGACTTTGGAGGTGAGACCAGAAGAATGGGAGGAGTGAGGCAGGAGAGGAGCGTCTACAGAGGGAATAGCACGTGCCAAGGCCAGGAGAGCTTGGAAGTCTCGTGGCTGTGAGACAGTCCCAGCCCCCTGCACACAAGGAGGAAGTTCTCCTTGGGCTGGGTTGAGGCAGGTGGCCGGACAGGTGGCTAATGAATTCAGGGCCAGCAGAAAGGCCCTGAGAATGAGAGTGGAGGCCTGCACAGGGCTTATGTGTGGAGGCGGGTGCTGGAGGCCGAGCCTGGGAAAAAGAGACAGGTAGGTGTATCCAGGCCAAGTAGGGCAGTGGGAGACTCAGCTCTGGCATGGCCAAGCGTGGATGGGGATGGTCTGGAGTGAGTGTCAGGGGACCTTTGGATCAGTAGTGATGGAGGGGCCTTCTCACTCCACTGCCTGGATGCCCAGTGGGCTCTTTTCTTCACTCCTTTCTGTCTCCTTTTCTGTCTCTCCACTCCTGAGCATGACTCACTGTAGCCTCAACCTCCCTGGGTTAAGTGATCCTCTGGCCTCAGCCTCCCAAGTAGCTGAGACTACAGGCGTGCACCACCACACCTGGCTAATATTCATTTTTATTTTTATTTTTGTAGAGACAGGGGTCTCACTTTGTTCCCCAGGCTGGTCTCGAACTCCTGGGCTCAAGCAATCCTCCTGCCTCTGCCTCCCAAGGTGCTGGGGTTACATGCGTGAGCCACTGCACCTGGCCTCCTCTCTCTCTCTCTCTGTTTTGTCTATTTCCGTATGACTCCTTCTCTCTCTTCCCATGTCATTCTCTCTGATTCCTTCCAGGTCTCTCTCTGTCCCACTCTGCCTGTCTCTCTCCTTGTTCTCTGTCTCAGTCTGTAGGTCTCCCTCCCTCACCTCCACTCTGATTCTCTGTCTCCCTCTTTCGCATCACTGCGTCTCCTCTCTCTGTGGCGCTCGCACATCCCCGCGCCATTCCCTGCCAGCCACTCTGTGTTCCCCTCACGTTGGGGCTGATGAGGGATGCACAGATGGGCTGGGATGGGGCCAGGCCCCCTCCCGCTCCTGACTTGGCGTCTCCTCCCCTCTCCAGAGACCCAGCCTCCAGCTGTGACCCCCAGCCTCACACCTGGTTCTGGTTCCCGCCTGGTCCTCCAGCTTCAGGACCCCACCTCCAAAGGCCCCTCCGCTCAACGCCTACCTCCCTAGGGCCCTGCTGGGACATGAGTGCCCACCCAAGAGGCTCTCAAGGACACCGGCAAGGCCTCCAGGCCCTGAGCCCCACTTCTGCCTTCACCTCTGCCTGGGACCTGAGCTGGGCTCCTGGGCCTTGCCAGAAGATGGCGGCTAGGGCCTCGCCGCCGGGACAGAGAAGGGACGGGGTGGCTGGGCAGTCAGGGAAGGAGGGTCGCCCGGATCCGACATTTTGGAGAGATTCCTTCACCCTCCTGTCCCCCCACCTCCCTTCTCTAATTTCTTCTTTTTTTAATGATAAAGTCTTAAAAACACAGAGCCACCAACTGGAGTTCTTGTGTCTATTCCAATATTTCAAATTCTTACCAATTTGAAGCTCATAAGTCACGAATAAGGATACTGATTGGCCGGGTGCAAGCGCGATGGCTCACGCCTGTAATCCCAACCCTTTGGGAGGCCAAGGCGAGTGGATCACTTAAGGCCAGGAGTTCAAGACCAGCCTGGGCAACATAGCAAGACCCCATCTGTACAAAACAAGCAAACAAATTGCCTGGGCATGGTGGTGCACGCCTGCGGTTTCAGCTACTTGGGAGCCTCCCAGAGTGCTGGAATTACAAACAAGAGCCACCAGGCCCGGCCTAGACTCCACCTCTTGACTAGAGGGAACTGCAAAATTCCTGTGAGAGATGTGCGTGCAGGGGAGAATGAAGACTCAGGGCCACGCGTGTGTCACTTTACCAGCTGTGGCTCTCCGGTCACATCCTCTGTCCCATGGGAAATGAGCAGGTTAGGCATGGACAGCCTCACTTCCAAGGCTTCCGGACGGACATGGGTTCAAATCCCACCTCTGGAACGCAACATGACTTCACCTGTCTGGACCCCAGTTTCCACATCTGGAGAACGGGGAGAGCGGCTGTGCCTGTCTTATAGGATGAATGTGCTGATGGTGGAGGTATTTTGAGGAACACATGGGGAACTGTGCCCCGTGTGTCAGCGCCTATCAGAAGCAGAGGCTATCCTTTGTGACTAGGAAAACAGGCTCAGAAACCAGTGTGAGTCCCTTGGGGTTCTCAGCTTTGCAGACCTCTGTCCCCTCCAGCCCCCAGAGAGAGGGACCACCAAGGCAGAGTGTGGGTCGCTCCCCTGTTTGGCTCTGTCTCTCTCCCTCTGGTACCTTTTTTTTTTTTTTTTGAGAGGGAGTCTCACTTTCTTGCCCACACCAGGCTGGAATACAATGTTGGGATCTCAGCTCACTGCAACCTCCGCCTCTTGGGTGCAAGCGATTCTCCTGCCTCAGCCTCCTGAGTAGCTGGGATTACAGGCATGCGCTACCACGCCCGGTTAATTTTTGTATTTTTAGTAGAGACGGGGTTTCACCATGTTGGCCTGGCTGGTCTTGAACTCCTGACCTCAGGTGATCCACCCGCCTCCACTTCCCAAAGTGCCGGGATTACAGGTGTGAGCCACCACGCCCAGCCATTCTTTCTGTCTCTGTCTTGTTCAGACCTCGTCTCTCTCTGTCCCCTTCCCCACTGGAAACCCACATCTTTGGGGCCTCCCCCTCCCTTCTCCTTCAGAGTCCAGGTGACCTCTCTCCCGCAGACCCAGGCTGCTTCATCCTGGCTCGCTGCCCTCCAGTCCCCTCTCCCAAGTGCCCCTCAGCCCCTCTGCCATTCAAGCTCCCCCTCTGCCACCCTCTCCTTAGAGCCATCCTTGGACCGTTGAGTCTCTCGGGCACCCCCCACCATGTATACTGCTGCTCTGTGTTCAAGGCCCAAGGGGCACGTGTGTGGGTTTTTGAGGGACCCCTGGAGCCCCTTCGGGGCGAGCCACGATGGAGAGATTCGCACAGAGACACACACGTTGCTATGAACAGACACACATGCAAATATGCACACGCACACTCCGAAACACACACACATGAAGGATGCACAGAAGATATGCCACACTCAGCCAGACGCGCTGGCTCATGCCTGGAATCCCAGTACTTTGGGAGGCCAAGGCGGGCAGACCACCTGAGGTCAGGAGTTCGAGACCAGCTTGGCCAACATGGTGAAACCCCGTCTCTACTAAAAATACAAAAAATTAGCTGGGTGGGATGGCGCCTGCCTGTAATCCCACCTACTCAGGAGGCTGAGGCAGGAGAATCAGGCTGGGAGGTGGTAGAGATTGCAGTGAGCTGAGATCGCGCCACTGCACTCTAGCCTGGGTGACAGAGCGAGATTCCGTCCCAAATAAAAAAGAAAGAAAGCAAATATCTGCTGAGCAGAAGAGTGAATGAACAAAATCTCAGGATATGCCAGGAGTGATGGCTCACGCCTGTGATCCCAGCATTTTGGGAGGCTGAGGCGGGCAGATTACTTGAGGACAGGTGTTTGAGACCAGCCTGGGCAATATGGTGAAACCCCGTCTCTACTGAAATATAAAAATTAGCCGGGCGTGGTGGCGCATGCCTGTAATCCCAGCTACTTGGGAGGCTGAGGCAAGAGAATCCCTTGAACCTGAAAGGCGGAGGTTGCAGTGAGCTGAGGTCATGCCATGGCACTCCAGCCTGGGCGACAGAGCGAGACTCGTCTCAAAAAAGGAAGAAAAGGACAAGTGTCACAAAAAGCAGAACAGGCACAGGATGAGAGCATGGGCTGCCACTTTTATGACCTTATGGAGCCCTTCAGTGAGGGCCGTGTCCCGGGCTCTGTTCTAGGAACCATATACCTGAGAATCTGTTGAACCCTATGGCAGCCCCGGGAGGTGGGTGCCATCACGGTCCCCATTTCCCAGACGAGGAAGTAGGACCAGAGAGGTGAAGCGGCTCATCCAAGGTCACACAGCTGGAGATTGTGGGGCTGGGCTCCATTTGAACCCAGGCAGCCTGGCTCCAGGGCCTGGGCACTAACCACCGTGCTTCCAGCCTCTCTTTTTTTTTTTTTTGAGATGGAGTCTTACTCTCTCTTGCCCAGGCTGGAGTGCAATGGTGCGATCTCAGCTCACTGCAACCTCCATCTCCCAGGTTCAAGTGATTCTTCCACCTCGGCCTCCCGAGTAGCTGGAATTACAGACACCCCCCATCATGCCCGGCTAATTTTTGTACTTTTGTAGAGATGGGGTTTCACCAAGTTGGCCAGGCTAGTCTTGAACTCCTGACCTCAAGTGATCCGCCTGCCTCGGCCTCCCAAAGTGCTGGGATTACAGATGTGAGCCACTGTGCCTGGCCTGATTTTTAATTTTTTAATTGCTTTTGTTTGTCTTTGAGATACGGTCTCACTCTGTAACCACGGCTCACTGCAGCCTCAAACTCCAGCACTCCAGCAATCCTCCTTCCTCAGCCTCCCCAGCAGCCGAGACTACGGCCACAAACCACCATGTCTGGCTAATTATTTATATTTGTTGGTACAGATGGCTTTTCACTGTGTCTCCCAGGCTGGTCTTGAACTCCTGGGTTCAAGCTGTCCACCTGCTTCAGCCTCCCAAGATGCTAGGATTACAGGCATGAGCCACTGCACCTGGCCTGATACTGTTTTCGTGACTATGATGAGAGTATTATCTCTTCCCAAAACTCCCCGGGACTCAGGTGGAATGGGTGATGGGTAGACAGCAGGAAGGACTTCAAACAATCACCCTCCCTTAAAGGCAGGTGGGGGAAGGAATATGAGGGAGGGGCAGGGCCAGGCCAAAGCTTTGAGGTCGGCTGAGAGGGGAGGCAGTTGTTTAGTGTATCTCCTGCCTGATGCAGGGGAGAGGTCCCAGCGGCTGGGACACTGGGAAGTGGGGGAGGGGACAGCTCTTCTCTTCCCCTCCTCCCCCTTTTCCCAGAACCTGGAAATGCCTCTCATTAACTGAATCCTGTCTAATTAAACCAATTGGATGTGCCTGGGGAGAAGGGAAATTGGGTGGGAGGTTAATTGTAACTAAAAATACCTCCCCCACTTCCTGGGAGGAGGAAGCCGCCGCGGGACCTGCGTGTATGGTAGGTGGGCATCGCAGAGCAGGAGGGGCCCCTGGTGCAGGGGCATCCTGGGTCATGGGGGTGAGGACCCAGGGGATAGGCAGGTGGGGCGCGGGGGCTGCGGTCGTTGTATGTCTGACCCCTGTGTTTCCTCTCGGCCTGTGGACTTGGAATGTGGTGGTCGAGGGCAGTGGTGGAGGGATGTCAGTGTGGCTAGAGCCACCGCCCGTGTGTCCCGTTGCTGAACGTGGTGTGTGTGTCGCTGAGTGGCAGTGTCTGTCACACGTGCCTTGGTATAGGTTGTGTGTCTCTGTGTAGGTTCCTGTCTGTGACGACAAGACGGCACTTGGGTTGGGATTGTGTGAAGAGCTGGTCTCTATCAGTTGTGTCTGTGTCCACGGCATCGTTGTGTCGTGATCACTCTCCTCCTAGGTCCGAACTTACAGTGGGACTTTGGGAGGCCGAAATGGGTGGATCACCTGAGGTCAGGAGTTCAAGACCAACCTGACCAACATGGTGAAACCCTGGCTCTTTTAAAAATACAAAAATTAGGGTGGGCACAGTGGCTCTCGCCTGTAATCCCTGCACTTTGGGAGGCCAAGGCGGGCAGATCACCTGAGGTCAGGAGTTCGAGACCAGCCTGGCCAACAAGATGAAACCCCATTTCTACTAAAACTACAAACAATTAGCCAGGTGTGGTGGCGGGTGCCTGTAATCCCAGCTACTCGGGAGGCTGAGGCAGGAGAATCGCTTGAACCTGGGAGGCGGAGGTCTGTCTCTTATACACATCTAGATGTGTATAAGAGACAGGGGTGACAGAGCAAGAATCGGAAAGCCTGACTCCAATGGGGATAACTGGATCTCAGGGTGGCAGGGAGCAAGTCACCGAACTTAATCACCAAAGGCAAGGTGGGCGTCGTTACCGCTTGCACAGCAGAGTCCAAGCAGCCATCAGAGTGCTATGACTTGGCCGGGCAGTGGCTCAGGCCAGTAATCCCAACAAATTGGGAGGCCCAGGTGGCAGAATCTCTTAAGGCCAGGAGTTTGAGATTAGCCTGGGCAGCATAGTGAGACCTGTCTCTACGAAAAAATTTAAACAATTAGCCAGATGTGGTGGTGCTGGCCTGTGGTCCCAGCTACCAGGGAGGCTGAGGCAGGAGGATCACTTGAGCCCAGGAAGCCGAGGCTGCAGTGAGCTGTGATTGTGCCACTGCACTCCAGCCTGGGCAATAGAATGAGACCCTATCTCTAAAGATAATACATTTTTAAAAAGAATTCCAGGAACCCACCCCTAAAACCAGCCCTTCCCCTCCCTCTGCAGAATAAAGGCCCCATCAGAGGGGACATGCTGGGCGTCAGGGTCAGAGGAGGAAGG